CAGTCATGTGGCACGAGTCAAGGGGCGGAAGCTCCAACATATACGTTGTGCTCGACCTACAGATCATCTACCAATGTGTGTACCGGTATGGCACACCTTTGAATGGAATCGGCCCTTTTCAGCTGAAGAAAGCCCATCTGGAGGGCTGCAACGCGTCGCTCTTGTATGGGTATCGTCGCACTGAACTTCTCGAAGCGGTAGAACATAACTTACAGGGACATGTATCACGGTTTAGACAATGGGAATCTGAAGGCAATGTTGACTTACTTAATGCGGGATTGTGTCATGCCATCGGCGATGCAACGGCGGAAGTACTACGAGAGCAAAGAGGATCGCATCACCACGAACACGCGAATCTCTCAACTCCTTCAACAGCGCCCTGAGGAGCTATCTCTTGAAGCGGTCCGACTTAGTCGAGCACTCAAACGGAAGAAAAAGAAAAAAAACACAAAAAAGAGAGCGCGTGCAACATCGGAATCTTCAGCGCATCGAAGCACTGGCAGAAGCTTGGCGAAAGCGACGCTTTCAGGAGGCATACAAGTTGGCCAGGTTGATCGCGGGCACGTGTCGAGGGCCACGTGGTCGAGTGTATCATCAGGTTGCCACAGCTCGAGCGACTTCGTTGGAGTGGATAGGGAAGCTACATCAAAGAGGCATCGAGCATCAAGAATTGTTCCAGACACCCTTTTCAAGCAGTGGGCGTTTGGAGGAGACCATCCGAGAGTACACAGGATCATATCGTGGACACGCACCAGCTTACCGAAGTAGAGTACCCTGAGATGGATCCTGCGAACTGGCCAGATCTCGCTCAGCTCTGGACACGTATCACGACATCAAAGATCTGAGAAACGCGGCAAAGACACTTCCTTCGTAGCGAGCCTGGCCAGACTGGAGCGCACCTGGAGATGTTTTTTTTTTTTTTTCCGGATCTGTCTTGACCCCAAATGGTTGTATCGACCTGAACAACGCGATGGCATTGGTGCAGAAGATCGGCCCGAGTGGAAGGCACCAGTGTTCGAAGAGGCACGTCAGCTACTTATGAGCACCATCAGAAGAGAAGAGCGAACTCCAATTGTGTGACATCAAGCAAATATGTTCAGACTCCCAAAAAACGGCAAGCCAGGAACAGGAGGAGAAAGACCGATCATGCTACTGTGTGGACTGGGTCGTTCATATTACAAGAGCATTCGGATTCGCAAACCGAAGTCTCCAAATTAGATGCATGGAGGCATGTCTCACAGGAGACGTGAAGACGCCATGCTTGCACAGTGGCTCATTCAGATTACGACGAGCTGGAATTCCACATGTTACCGGATATCATGACGCGACGAACGCGTTTTACAGTGTGAAGAAGCACCATCTTGTAGCAGCTGGCAAAGAGACAACAGAGCAGGGCATGGAACACTTTGTCGAGCAGAGGATCATGAACAGCACATTCATCGTCAAGGATGAACTGTACAGCGCGCACATGCACAATGCAGAAGGAGCTTTGCCAGGCGACCATGCATCAACCAAAGTATGTGTGAATGCGTATGGATATGGAGGTGGCTTCAGCAAGCTTAGCACGAGACGAGCGGCAGAGACTCTTGCAAGCCACCTCGATGCCGAGTGGGCTTGAGGACGAGGAGCGTCGACTTAGCCACCAGCGGATTCGTCGACGACATCGGCATGAAAGTTATCGGAACCAATTATCATCATCTTCGCAAGCTATGCAAATGGGAGAATCTCATCATTGATGCTGGACTCGGGGAGATTGGGGGGGGCACAGAACAGGGACAAGCAATACAACCTCGTCCAGGGTGCAAAACGAGATGCTCAGAAGCTCAACAGAGTTTTTCATGAACATTCAGAAACTTCTAGAAGGCAGCACTAAAGCTTGTGCGAAATATCTCGGAGGTCTACATCACTATAACAATGGGTGCACGGCAGAGCAATCGGTAACAGCTATTGACAAGGCATGGAAAAATGTGGCACTTCTGGACCTCGTCTACTCCTCTCAGGTTTCGGGCCATCGTCGTCGTTTGTGAGGTCGTCAACGCGGCCCTCAGCGGGCTGGAGGCTTATGTGATGAACATGAAGACCCCGCTCAGCAGGCGATGCCTGGAACTTCTACAATCCAAATTAATCATATACGCCAGAGTATTCTGAAGGGTAGATTCACTGAGCACACGCACGGTAGAGTAGTTGAAACAATTTCTCATGCTGAGGTTCTCAGAAAGCTGAAAGTAGGTAGTCTGTTTTGTGAACTCCGAATTCGCAGAAATAAGTGGCTCCAATTCATGATCAGGCACCCCAGAGAGAACGCTCAGGTCCTCGGAGCCCTCCGTGGTCAAGTCAGGTACGAGTGTGAGCAAAAGGACTGCGTTGGAGGCGTTGTCCAGGCTGACGCCCATCCGTGGCTTAGGCAATTTTGGGAGGACGTCCAGGCGCTGGGGAGCACCGATGAAGGAACCACCCTCCTCGAGGCCCTCGATGGGTCGTTCTGCAAACTTTTTGAGGAGCCTCACCGAGAGGTTTTTTTGAACCTCGATCCGTTTGTGCTCAGAGCCAAGGAGCTCGCCGTTGAGGTGCCTCCCCCTCCTGGGCTTGATGGGTCGGGCGTCGCTGGTGGGGGTGGGGCTTCGGAGGCGTGTGAGAATCCAGAAGGGGAAGGCACCGTTCCCTGTCCTGCGTGTGAGCAGGTCTGTTCCTCACACCTAGCCATGGTCACGCATTATGTAGGGTCACAAGCGGAGGGTCATGGAGCTAGGAGTGTTCCGTATGATGGCACGCTTTACAATTAGTGTTTGATCTGCAAGAGTACGTTCGCGAACAGGGAAGCTGCTCAGCATCATGTTCTCAACGCGCTAAAGAAGGGCAGATGTTTCGTCGACGGCAGTGCTCAATGTCATGAGAAGGTCCAACACAAGATTCGACCATGTACCATGTGTAGCCATCCTGCTGAGAGTGCTGAGGTTTTGGACGCACATCTGATAGCGAACCATCCTCAGCAGATCATCCACGTCGACCACTACCTCACGCTCAATGTCGGCGTGGCTTCCAGAAGGGCAGGCTTCTGCGGCATCGGCGGCAGGGGGGTCGGCGGCAGCGGGATCAGGACACGCGGCGGCGGCGGCGGGGGACACCGCTCCAAAACAGAAGAAAACCAAGACGCACAACCCCAGGGACATCGAGAAGAAGCTGCAGCTCCAGCTGGAGGCGAGGCAGCGCGAGCAGGAGGCGAAAGACTCGCACGTTCGGTGCCCGACGGACCATCCCATCGTAATTGGCATGAAGCAGGCGGGGGAAAACTACGACCAGAGCGTGAAGTCGGCAGGGGCAGGCCACTCGTTCGGCTCGCCGCACCTTCACGCCGTTCGAGCGTTGCTGGAACAATTGGTCGCCGTCAACGTGGAGGGCAAGAGCGAGGATGTGGTGATGGTCATCCGAGGCGTGCAGCGCCTGCACGCAGCGGTGAACGCGGGCAAGCCAGACGAGCTCGAAGAGTGGCGTCACACGTACAGGTGCAACGACTACTTCAAGAAGGGGAACGCATCTTCACAATCGAGAATCATGTACAGCGCCAGTGGACACTGGCCGATGGCGACTACCAAAGAGCAGAACGACTTGCTAGCCAACCAGACGTTCCACCACCCGCTCGTGATCGACACCAACACCAACCTGACCTACGTGACGATGGACCGCCTCCTCACGCTCGCACTGCGGGTGGCAGGGGCCGTCAGTGAAGGCGCCCATCGGCGGGCTGGCGTACCAGCTAAGGAAGCAATATATACTAGTGTCGTCTCAGCTCGCTCTGCGACCCCGCCAGAGACCCCAGACTATATGACCAGATTTGATGCGCTTCGTCAAAGGATTTTGATGCGAGAGCTGGCGCGGCGGGCAGGACAATCGTGACATTGCCCCTGCGCCTTGGTTCCCCCGCCAGCCCACAGTCGGGCTAGGTGCGAGGGGGGGCTGGCCTCGTGCTCCGTTCCAGAGTATAAGCCCGTTCACGAACTGTGTCGGACATGATGTGTCAGGCTCTGCGGTCCCATTGCATATTTAAGTGGATTCAGTGAGGGATTGAAGCAGCATGAATGAATGAATGAAACTATGTAAGTGTACATGCATATGTAGATGCATATGTAGATGTGAAGGCATATGTGAATTACATGGTATACATGTAGATATTTAAAATGTAAAGGTACATGTAATTGCATATGTGTGCATATGCATGTGTCTGTGTACGTGCGCATGTACACGTACATGTATGTGTATGTATGTGCATGTGAAAGTGTATAGGTATATTTATATGCCCAGATATGTGTCTATGTATAAGCGTTTTCATGTGAATGTGTATGCATAGGGATAGGTATAGGTATGCATGTATCTCTAATACTTGTATACGACTATGAGAACACATATATATGTGTGTATGTGTATGTATCATGTGTGTGCGAATGTGCATGTTTATATGTATATGGATACGGTTTTCTCTGATGACAGTGAAAGTATATGCATCTGCATTGGTATATGTATGTTCTAGCAATCAGTATATGTATACGTGCGTGCTTATGTATATGTATATAGCTATGAACGTACATGTGTATGTAGATGTGGATGTGTATGTACATGTGTGCGTGCATGTGTGTATGTATGCATGTGAGTACATATATACACATACATGCGTATGTGTATGTACGTATGCGTGTATATATGCATATATATAGGTACGCATGTATAGTTATAGGTACATGTGTACGTACATGTGCAGGTTTGGGTATATGTATATGCGTATGGTATGACTCCGTATAGTGATATGTGTATACAACTGTAGACGCATACGTATACATATATATATGTTTGTGCATGTGTGCATCTGGATATGCAAATGTAGATACACATGTATATGTATATGTACATGCATATGTACATCGATGGACGTATACATGTATGTGTGTATATGTGTACAAAGAGATAGATAAGGAGATAAGCAAATGAAGAAAAATCAGAAAGGGCACGCCCGTTGGGGCCGAAGGCGACGTCGAGCAGCGCTTGCCCGAGGTCGACGGGCCGCTGGCGCGCGCGGCGGTGATCTTAGCATGAAGGAGACGAGTCATTGAGGAACGTGGCCCTGGATTTTGCTGTTTCCGATTTCCAGCCCCCGGGGCCCTCCACGGACTAAACGGGATGAGTCAGGGAATAAGCGGGATTAAGGCAGAGTAGGACCGTTTTCGACAGAGGATGCAACATCGCCGATGCTGAATCCCAACAGCACTTTCGGGCGTGAGTGCTTCGGCGCGTTTCCTCTTCTAGAGGAAAAAGAACTATGCACATACACCGACTCTGGCCAGGCCCACCCTGAGCCCAGGATCGGTGCATACGCCCTTTTACCTCGGCCAGGAAGGTATATGCACCGATGCAGGGTCAAGAATAAACGTTGTCAGGATCGGTGTATGTTCTCTTCGCCCGATCTTCCAACCCCTTTTCTCTTCCCCTTCGGGTAGGGGTTCGCCTTAGGATGGGCCACTACCACAAGGATCGGAAACAAGCCTTCTTGGCGCGCGACACGAAAAACACAATAATAATTCTTGGCCTTACCAAAGGTTTGGACATATTCAGGATTCCGCCGGGCACTGATGTTTGCCGCGCTTGTCTTGCCATCGGGTGCTTTGAAATATTGAAAGCGCACCTGGGCTCTGGGTTTTGCCCCGCTGGTTTTGCCATAGGGAAAGTTCTCATCGTTTCAAAGCGTGGGACCGCATGCGATGCTGATGTTTGGAGCGCCCATTGACCACACCAAAACATCCTCATCATTGTAGGAAACAAGCACTAGAACCCTTATTAACTGGGAATCCAACCTGTCACCGTTAAGGTTTACCTCGGCTGCCAAGCCAAACTTGCTATTTTCCCAGTGTGGACACATCCAAACTCCCCACGGGCCCGCGCAGGAAGTTCTGTATTGTCCATAGAAGAGAGCACGCACCCAAACCCATGTTAACTTGAACATCCCATCGGTGTCCGTGAGGTTTTCACTTTTTTCTAAGCCAGCATGGTGATTCTTCAATTTTTGGCCACTACCGAACTCCCCCACGCATGTGCGCGTGGTAACTATTGTATTACAACAAGCATACACCAACACCCACGTTGACTTCGAAAATCAATATGTAGCCCTTGTGGGTTTACTTTTGTTTCCGGGCCAACATGGCTACTTTCCCACTGTGGACAAAACCGATTTCTATACAAACCGAACTGAACCCCATGATAATTCAGAAATGCAAGCGGTCACCGTGAACATCCACATTCGTTTCCAGGCCAATACGACCACATTTCTATTGCGGACAAAACAACTCCACACTCGCGCGCATGACGTTTTGCATTGCCAACAAAAACAACAAACGCCCAAACCCAGGTCAGTTTGAACATCCCAGCGGTGACCGTGAGGGTCCCTATATTTCTATCTTAGACAACACCGAACCCCCCACGCACGTACCCGCGGTAAGGTCTGGATTTTGCATAGCAGAAAACATAAACCAACAACTATATTAACTTTGAATTCCAACCAACCACCGCCGAATAATAACTTCAATATCCAGGCCAGGGCTGCCTTGCTATTGTTGACGATGCCGATATGCTCCACGCGTGCGCATGGAGATATATGCGTTTCCTAACATGAACGGCAGACCAGGACCCGTGTTGACATCGAAACCCAGCCTGTCACATCTCAGGGTGCACGTGCGTCCCAACACTCTGGCAATTTAAGCGTGGGCAGCACCGAACTACCCTACGCGCGCGGGAGGCGCCTTGCATTGCCCACCGGAACTCATGCAGCACATCCCTTTTTACCATTGTAGCCCAATCGGTCACCATGTAGGAGCCCATGTTGTTTCCAAACCAACAGAACGGTGTTTCGAATGCGGAAACAAACACACACACACACACACACACCTCCCCGCGAGCGCGTGGACGTACTTCTGTTTTGCCCATACAAATATACTAACACCCGAACCCATGTCAACGTTGACATTCAATATGTAACCGCGAGGGCTTCACCTTCGTTTCCAATACATGATGGCGACTGACCCGTTGTAGGCATTTACGACAGACTTCCCAGGCGCGCGCGCGCACGGGGAGACTGCGCTGCCCACCATGGAACACATCCACCAGAACACACGCCACGCGCGAGGGAAAGGCCGCCGCGCGCGGGGCGGCCCTGGTTCTGCGCGGGCAATGACGCCATGCACACTGGGGCAAGGCAGCGCGCGCGGCTGCCTCTCCCCTCGCAGGGCGCGGGCACCCGCGCAGAATGGGCCAGGGGCCCTGCGCGCGGCGGCGGCCCTGCCCCTCGCGCGCGGCGCAACTTCCCAAGCCAAATAGGCCCGGGCCGCCGCGCGCCCGGCGGCCTGGCCCCTCGCGCATTGCGGGGGCTCGGCTGCAGAACGGCCAGGGCCGCCGCGCGCGCGGCGGCCCTGCCCGTCGCGCGCGCTTTTTGCCCGCGCGACACGGACCAGGGCCCCCGCGCACGCGGCGGCAGAACCCCATGCGCGCATGGCGCAGTTCCCCGCGCAGAATTCGCCAAGGCAGCCGCGCGCGCGGCGGCCTCGCTACTCCCGGGCTGGTTTCTCCAGCGCGAAAAGGCCGGGGCCGCCGCGCGCGCGCGGCGGCGGCGGCCTTGCCTCTCGCGAAACCTTGTTCCGCTGCGGAATGGACCAGGGCCGCCGCGCTCGCAGCGGCCTTGCCCCTCGTGCAGGGCGCAGCCTCCCACGTGGAATGGGCCAGGGTCGCCGCGCGCGCGGCTGCTTTTTCTCTCGCGCGCGGCTTTGCCCCTGCGCGTAGTGGGCAGAGATAACGGGCAACAGCGACCCAAAATCTCGCGCCTTCGAATATTTCCCCCCCGAGCGCGCCCTCCGTTCCAGCGTTCGCCTCGAGCAGCTGCGCGCGCGCTTCTGGGCGCGGGGCGGCCCGCGCCAAACCTGGAAGGCGGCGCCGAAGGGCGCCTGGCGGGGCTCGGCGTTGATCGACGAAATCTGCCGCGGGGGGCCCCGCTTTCCTTGGTGGCGCCGCGGGCGGGCGCTGGGGAATGACCAGGGAAAGACTCGGCCAAGCGAAATCGGCCAGGCTTAGCTGAGCCCCGCCGAGGTCAACCAGCCAACAGGCAGCCGTTTCCAGCCTGGCCGAATTTGTCCTGGCCGAGTCTGCAATCGAAGAACGGGGGGGGGGTGAGACCGATTCCATAGTTCGGATTCCTATTGTAATCATAAGGGGCGAACGCCAAATTACAACCAGGGAAGCTTGCGTCAGCTTCCGAGCGTCTGGAGGACTCCCGAGGGAATCTGGAAGATTCCGGATGGAAATTTGCGGATCTTGACGGACCCCGGGCGATTCCTGGACCCCCCCTGGGGCTGGGAGAATTCTGGGGAATCGGGGGGAAATCTGGAAGGGCCCTGAGACATTTGTCGGAGATTCCTGATGGATTGCTGACGGATTCTTGCGGGTTTACTCGGGGTTCTTGCATTCCCATAGGGATGCTTAAATTTTTCGGAAGGAATCTACAGAGGACCCAGTCCAGCAGGATTCTCGAGGACCCCTGGAAGATTCTTGAAGATGTCTGCAAATATTGGAAATGTCCTGAAGATTCTCGTGGATTCCTGAAAGATGCTTGAGGATCCCTCCGGGCTCCTGAAGGATTTCTTGGGGGTTCCTGCAGCATTCCGACCAGATTCCGGGGGGGGTCTTGAGGGATTCCTGAGGGGTTCCTGACGGAACCCCGTCAGATTCCCGCAGGATTCCTGAAGGGTTCTGGAAGGACTGCTGAGGGACTCTGGAAGGATTCCTGGGTGACTCTAGCGGTTTCCTGAAGGACTTAGGAAGGGCCCCTGAGGAACTCTTGCGGATGGGATGCCTGCTGATAGAAGGGGGATATTTGAAGATTTCTTGAGGTTTCTTGAAGATGCGTGGAGGAGTTCGGCTGGTTCCAAGGAAATGCTAGAGGGTTCATCAAATCTGCGTGACTACGTTTGGGGATTATGGACGGACTCCTGAGGATTCCTCAGGGATTCCTAACAGATGCGTGCTGGAAGTGTTCACAGATTCCTGAAGGATTCGAGGCACTCTGGAGAGATTCCTGAGTGACTCTGGAGAGATTCCTAAGGGGCCCTTGCGCTCTCTTAAGGGGGTCTAGAGGGATTCCTGAGTGGCTCTTGCGGCTCCCTGAAGAATCCTGACAAATCCCGGAGGGGTTCTCGGGAATTCGCGAGGGGTTCTTGCGTTCTTCATTTGTCGTGCGATATCCGTCGTGGTCGCGCTGGCAATCGTTAGTCGTCCGTCGCCAATGGCTCATCGTCGTCGCGCCGTCTCTCGCGCGCGGAGGAGGACAGGGAAGTGCAAAAGGAGGGGGGCGATGAGGAGGGGGTGGAGGGCACCTCGAAGGAGGGCGAGGAGGAGGGGCGACGTCTGCGACGACGGCGATAATGATAATGATGGTCGCGGTGATTGTGGGGATGCTGTTGATGATGGTGATGCTGATGATGGTGCTGACGACGACGCGATGCCGATGCCGGTGCTGATGGCGACGCTGCTGCTGACGATGATGGCGCGAAGAGAGGCGTTGGTGACGAGGAGGACAAGGAGGGCGAAGTGGGCATGAGGGGAGGAGGGGGCGATGCTTAAGGAGTTGGTGGAGCAGGACGACGAGGAGTGGGGAAGGGAGAGAAGAGGCAGGGGGAAATTGAGGGACCGCGCGATTTTCTCAAGGACTACACGGGGGAAGAGAAGATGCAGAGGAGAAGAGCAAGGGATATGGTGGCGATGCTGATGGTGCTGATGATGATGCTGGTGCTGCGGATGTAGTGCTGATGATGGTGATTATGATGCGGGTAATGATGCTGGTAGTGATGATGGTGATGAAGATGGCGCGGGTGTCCCCATTGAAAGCCAGAAGCTCTTTGCAGCGCAGCTGTTCACAGACATGTCTGTTGGGGGCAAGCTCGGGCTTCCTATGCGCTGGGCCACGCCGAGACCGCGCGCGACGACCCCGCTTGGAAAGTTTAGCCTCGTTTACGCACGGGGCGGCGCGC